ATATATATATATAAAAAAAAAAAAAAAAAGGACATTCGAATCTTATATATAGCTTTTTACATTTTTATTATTGTGAATAACATTTTTAGCATTTTTTTTAATTCGAATAGACATGTATATTTTTCTTCAAAGTTACTTTCTTCTTCTTGTTTACATATATTTTTCCCCCTTTTTTCTTTTATATATATAGTACATAAAACCCCCTTTTTTTCTTCAAGCATTACATTCTTTTTTTTTAAAAAAAAATGTACAGATGTTTTTTATACATTATAAAAAAAAAGAGATATATTTTTAGTGACGTGGTGAAAAAAAAAAATAAAAAATAAAAAAAATAAAAAAATTAAATAAAAATTATAAATATTTTTAAAATAAATAAAAATCATGCTGCGCATTTTATACTTTATAACTTTATCAAGTATTATTATTATTATAAATTACATAAATTATATAAATTTAATCTAAGTTTTTTATTAAGTATTGACTTTTCCGCCGAGTATCTAATTCGGTAAAGACCGAATTTTTGCTCCGATTAAATTTCAGCCACTGAGTCGTTATGAATGATTATGACTGAGGTAAAATTGACGGTTTTCCCGCCTATTCTAGAAAATTTCTTTTTTTTATTTGTCATTTATTTGTCATACTAATAAAAACTAAAACTTTAAAAAAGATAAAATTTTAAAATATGATGCAATGACATTATAATACTTCCGTAAACTTTTAGTGAGTCACTCTGTCAAAAGTACGCCATATCGCCATCAAACAAAAAGAATTAGACTTTTTTTTTAATTTGACAATAAAAAAACTTTTTTGTATTACAAATAATAAATTTTTTTTTTTTTTTGCTGCGTTTGTTATTAGTCTTTATTATTAGGAAAGTATGATTTTTAAATACCCGATTAGTTAAATAAATAACCTTGCTTAGCATTTTATCTTGGTGTATTTTTTAACAGCGGATGAACGGAATAGACCGCAGTGATTTTAGAACGCCAAATATATGTAAAAAATACGTTTATTACGGAATTACCAAATATAAACATTAATTACGTACCTTAAAATGTTTTTAGAAATTTGGAATATTTACAAATACAAGCAAAATAAAAATACGCCATTTTAATCATCGGAATGAAGATTCCGGATTTAAGTAATTGGGATTGGTCAAATAATTGGATTGGATCGGATGATTTAAGTAATTGGATTGGTTGAAATATTGATTGAGTTGGATTGGTTGAAGGATTGAGTACTTTGAATAATAACATTTGAATACATTTGAAATATTTGAAATAATAAAGATTTGAATACATTTTTTAATACATTCAATACAATATAATCTATAATATTTTATAATATTTTTTAACATTCCCCCCAAAATTTTATTTCGGAATTTTTTTAAATGGAAAATTTTTCAATTTTCCCCACAAAAATATCGTGTGGAAGAACAATGGCACATCTAATTTTGTATATCATTGGATAACCAGAATATGCACGATTACATATAATTTACATAATAATTACCAAATTTATTTAAAATTGTCGGGTAAAACTAAATACTTTTATAAATTTACATCACACAAAAAAACCGGCCGACCATACAAATTTGAAACACGTTTGAAGATTTTTTTATTACTGGATGAAATTCTTGTTTATGTATAAAAAAAAAACGCCCTCCAAAAAAGTTTGTACGATTTATCATTACCTTATTAAAAAAAAAAATTCTTTTTTCTTTGTTCTATTTTATAAAATTCCAAATATCGAATTTCTTGATGATTTCCTTTAATGGAATAATTCAAATCGAAACAATTTTCAATAAAATTACATGTGTTTATACTTTTTTTTTGCCGTTCTTTTTTTGTATAACTAACTTAAACCACATGTTTTTTTTTTTTTTTTTTAAAAAACCGAATGAAAATTTTATCGTACATTGTGTATTTCAAACTCAATCTAAACAATGGAAACCATTTATGTAATTATATCCGCAGTTAGAATAATGGAAAAATTTTACAATGGATGTTAAATGGATGTAAATAGATGTAAATGGATGTATTGAAAAATGAAAGAAAAATTAAAAATGACAATAGGGTTTAAATTTATTATTTTTTGTATAAGCCACATTTAAAGAGGGTCGGAGTGTCTGAAAAATTATTCAAATGGGTAAATTTATTCATTTATTTTTACTCTATTTGTAACAAATCGTACATATATGTAATGTTTGTACCTTTTATTACAATTGAAGAATCTTCAATCCTTGTTATATAACTTGTTTAATTACTAGTTTCCAGGGCGCAGTCTAATAAGATTATATGGCTGAGTTTAGAAAATTTTCAATGAATACCTAAATTTATTTTATTTTTTATTTAAACAAAGAACCGATAAATTTTTGATTGTCCTTATCACAATGGAAAGATCACATATCATTTGTGATAAATTTTCTTTAATACATATATAAACATAACATAAACACGAGCGTATAAAAAATATATATAAAATGCAACTTAAAATTTCACATTCTTTCGCATTTGTACTTTTTTGATTTTTTTTTTTATTTTAAAAAAAAAAAAAAAAAAAAATTTTTATTTATTATTGAACAATAATAAATTTTTTACAATATATATTATCGAGTATATTAAAATTTTTTTAAATTCCTTTGTTATCTTGTTTTTCTTGTTATTCTAAAATAAAAAAAAAAAAAAATGTTGTGTCCTTTATGTTGTCTTTTGAAACTAAACTCATTTTGTGTCAACAAAATATTTTAGAACAATATTAATCATTAATGTTGTAATGAACTCATAAAATTATTATTGTTCTTAAAAAAAACTTATTTTAAAACTTGTGTTAAATTTCTTTTAATTTAGGAAATATTCACGTTATCTATTTAATCTTTTTTTTTGTACCTTGGGAATTTTTTTTTTAGTAAATTATTTTGGGGATAATAAATTAGAGATAAACCAAATAAAGATAACAAAAGAAATAAAAAAAATTCATTTAAAGAATAATAAAAAGTTCTGCAATTAATGTTGGGTTACATATTTACATGTTCGAATATTAGACGCGTTTTGTTTATCTTTTATTTAAATTACTAATTTTTTTTCTTTTTTTCTTTTTCATCCCTGCATTTCTCTTTTTTTACGAGATTACAAAGATTACAAGATTACAAGTACAACAAAAATACACAAAGTTTTTTTTTTTTTTTCGTCCCTTGCATCAAATTTCAGCCCAAGATAAAAAAGAATCTTCAATAACAACAAGTATATCAAAGTATATCAAAGTTACAAATAATATCTTACAGTTAGTATATCAAAGTATATCAAAGTATATCAATGTTTAAAACTTTAAAAACGCGCGTGCGTTACAGTTATAAACAGTATAGGCAATATAGGTAGTATAGGCAATATAAGTAATTCGAATTTACGCGTTATAGATTAGTAAGATTAGTGGTATTTTGGGTTATAAGGGTTATGGGTTATAAGGGTTATGATTTATGAATTATGTATAGTATGTATAGTATGTATGTATAGTTGTAGTTAGTTGTAGTTAGTTGTATACATATATATTTGTATATATAATATATGTATATATATATATATATGTTATATAATTATATCTATATGTATATATATATATATGTTATATTTATATCTATATGATATATATGTTATATATATATATTATATACGGTATGTTTATTATTTATTTATATACGTATGCATAGGTAATAAATTATAATTATAATTATAATTATAATTATAATTAATTATTATAATAATTCTCTAATTTTTTAATTTTATTAATTTTTTTAAAATTTTTTAAAATTTTTAAAATTTTTTAGTTTTTTAAACTTTATTAAACTTTATTAAACTTTAAACTTTTTTTTTTACTGAATGTAACTTAAATTAACCATACTAACCCATGTTTTAATTAAAAAAAAAACGCGGAAAAACTTTTAGTGGCTTAAGTTCGATATCTTAAGATTTACTATATGACGTGTGATAATCAGTTAGTCACGAAATCATTTGAATTTAAAATTTTAACGTGTACAGTACACAATTATTATGACAGATAAACAAACAAATATGCAATATAATAATTTTCTTATTATCATGATTAGGGGAACCCTGATCAAATTAAAAAATCTCTATTTGATATGGTTTATTATGGTAAAATTGAAAAAAAAGGGGACCCGAAACTCAAAAAAGATTAGTTAAATTAGTTGATGTAGTGAATGGGAAAATTTTGATTATTTTGATTATTTTGATTAAAAATTTATTTTTATTATTTATTTATTTTTTTTTTGATTTTATATTTTAATTTAAAGGGAATTTTTACCGGTTATATTTGTTTGCTTACAATCTTTCGCGTAAGTAAATTTTACGTAAAAATCATCACAAGGAGATTTTTAAAACATATTATTATTAACTTGACACATGTTCATTTTATTTGACAGGTTTTATGATTCTCACGCACGGTTTAATATATATTAATCCTTTTGTGGTAATTATTTATTATGAGAACAATCAAGGAGATGTAGCGAGACTAACATATGCTCTCATTTTTTAATTTAACTTTTTTTGTAAGTTATAAATATTTAGAATTTTCTGAATTTTCCCTGGCCCCTAGACTTTTTTTTTTTTCCCATGATTATCCTAAAAAAATCTGGGAAACGGGGAAATCGGGATTTCGGAGATTGTTAAAAAGTTTTTTTCAGTTTTTTTTTTCCTTTTTTTTTTTTCCTCATTTAAATTCATTCAATCATTCAAAAAAAGATTTTTTAATCATTTCAAATTAATACATTTTTACATTTTTACACAAAGAAAATGGTTTCAATAATAATTAATGTCATTCAAAAAATTCCCAAAAAAAATTCCCCTTCATAATTTTACACAATTTACCAAATTTAGTTTAGTACCAAATTTGACAGATCAATTTTCATTATAAATACTGTAAATAAATTAATAATAAAATGAATACGGGTAATAAAAATAAAATAAAATAAATAATATATAATAATATATATAATAATATATATAATAATATATATAAATATAATCTTATCTCTTCTCTCTCTTTTTTCGAGGGAACAATAATAATTAATATTGATTGTTCCGTATTTTTGAAACAATATGATTTTCAATTTCTTTTGTTTTGCTAAAAAGTCTTGATCAATTTTGCGCAATTTGTTGATCATTTCATCAAAATAAAAAATTTTGTATCTTTTGGTCGTAAAAAAGATTATTGTATGTACAGTACATAGTATATATTCAATATTAAGTAGTATACATATACATATGTTATATAGTTGTATATTCATCATTGTTTCGTTTAAAAATGATTTTTTTTTTTTTTTAGAGTTTATTTGCATTAGACGTACTTACTGTTATTTGTACATTGTATTCAATCTATCTTTTTTTTNGATCAATTTTCATTATAAATACTGTAAATAAATTAATAATAAAATGAATACGGGTAATAAAAATAAAATAAAATAAATAATATATAATAATATATTGATAAAGATCCACAAAATTTGATGTCAATCTCACTAAACATAAAATTTTTCAAAAAATAAAAAACTAATTGATATTATATATTAAAAAAAAAAAAAAAATAATAAATATAATAATAATATTATTATCTATTAATCTTTTCCTCGAAATCCTCCTCCTTATCAATAATAATAATAAAATAATGATACTCAAAAATTAAAAATGCGCAATGTGCATTAACGTTTGATAATGTATGATGTATCACGTAATTTACACTTAATTATTCATACGTGATGATATTGATTTTAAAATTTTTTTTTTAATTTAATTAAAAATCCAAATTATCACATTAAATTATTTATATTTCAAATTTGTATTTACATGGGGTAATGGGTTGTACTTTATATATATACTTTATTTACTTATACACTCTTATACACTTTATTCACTTTATTTGAATAACAAAATATAATATAAATTTTTTTTTTTTTGTTTAAAGTAATAAAAAATTAAAGTTGACTTGTGTTACGTGTCAAACCTGTCAATGTTATTTAAATTTCGTTTATAATTAATTTTATTTCTTCTTTACCTGTTTTTAACATTGCATTTTCATATGTGAGTAAGTGAGTTTAAGGAGAATTATTTTCTAGTTTAATAAATTCTCCACTTTTTCAAATCTCCTTATTTAGTAGTTTCTTATAAATCAGGAATAAATAATTAATTATTACTTTTATTATCATTTTTGTCATGGGATCATGAAATATTTATATATATTGTTTAAAGTGTTTTTTAAACTGTCATTTTATTTTTCATCCCCCTTAATAATAAATAAAATAAAATAAATAAATTGGTAAATTGTTCAAATTTCGCAATTTTCTTAATAATGTAAAACCCCCCCTACATTTTATGCAGGTGAACTTAATATAATGTTTAATCACGTGATATTTTATATTGGGGATTCCCCCAACATAGTAACTATAGAGAAATAAGATGGGTAATCTAATTTCTAAATTACGGTAATTTCATTAAAAATACAAGTAATTTCCTTAAATTGGAAGCGGAAAATCGGAAAATCGGAAAATCAAAAACCAAAAATTGCGTAGATATTCGGCAATTTAAACTCTTAGCCGGTCTTCTATATTCTTTCTTGTTGTTTCAATCAGATCTATTTCTTCATTCTTTGAAGCATTGTATCTTAAAACATTGGTTTGATTGAAAGGATTCTCGGGTGATTTCTTTTGAATTTCGTATTATAAAAAAAAACGAATGGAAATTAATTGATCATAAATTTTTCAAACATGAAGATATTTCACTCATAAAAAAGCAAAGACTTACTTTGAAATTTTCGTACAAAAGATTATGTAATTGAGCATAACGTAATCCAGGATTTTCTTTTCGAAGTTTTGGCATCTCATGTTCTTCATATGCACGGAAAGCAGCCTATGTTATAATAAATTATCATTAATATGTATAAATGTATAAGGATGAGGAAAAATGTTTTAATCAACTGATACCTTAAACCTTCTTTCTGGATGTCTTTCAATATTAGAAGCACTTGTAGGAGCACCACCACCATTATTTTCTAATAAATCTAAAGCATCATCTATATTAGATGCAGAAAATTCAGGAATTTCTCTTCTCTCCGTGGCTTCTTGTTCAACTTTCTGAGTCTTCTTGATAGCCTTTGTCTAATATATTATAAAATATATATTAATATAATCTTTTTAATTAACAAAAAAAGGTAAAAAAAAATAGGTATAGACTACCTCTTCACCCGATTTCTTTGTTAATTTTATTACAGGCTTATATTTCGAAAGTTCTTTTTCTTCTTGTTCTAATAATTTTGCTGCTTCATTTTTCTTTGCTAATTGAGCTTCCTATTATTAATTTAAAACAAATTGAGATCAAATTCTAACGTAATTTTTTTAAAATATATTAAAATATCTCCCAAAAGTAACGACTGAAAAATATTGATCGTACTTTTCTCAGTCTTTGAGCTTCTTTTTTTGAAGTATCTTTTGCTCCTACTGACCACTCTTCGGACTCTTTTCGTTCTTTCTCAGCTTGTTTCTTGGAATTAACCTCCTTTTGGTGTACGGCTTTCTTTTCCTTTGCAGCCGTAACTGATAAGCAAAAAAAAATTATAAATTAAAATAATTATAAAAGAAAAATTAAAATACTCTCGGTTATAATATAAAACTAATTATTAATTATTATACCTTTAGTATTTTCTCCTCTGAATTTTTTTGGCATGATTTCCAAAGTAAAAAAAACGAATTCTTGTAATAGAATCGGAGAAATTATTTTATTAATCAAGGCGCAGTAACCGTGTAGGTATTCACATGATTCGCATGAAAAGGTCTGAGCTGTTTCATTTACGTAAATTATTCGTAAACTTATCGGAAATTATCGGAAAATAAATAAATAGTGTGTCCATCCATCTAAAAAAAAAAAAAAAGTATATACACTAAATAAATTTTAGATCGTTGATTAATAAATAAGAGACGTCATAGACGTCATGTG